AACTACAAACCAAAAAGAGGGAAAAAAAATATGTGTCATTACAGAACTTCTAGATGGTAGGGAAGTCAAGACAACTACAAGATAGAATGGACTGTTCTACACTTGGGAAGAAAACTATAAATCACAGGGTCACCTCAACAAAAAATGATAAACCTTCACATGAAAATCAAAAAGAGGACCAGCATAAATATTCAGCAAATACTAAAACAATACCAATGAAGGAAGTGATAACATGATTCATAAACAAAACGAGCTCAGCATAGAAAATCATGTAGCACAAAGAAATTGACACAATGAAAAAGCACATGACAAAAATGACAGCAACAAATTCATATTTGCTGATAATTATGTATCTAGCAAGGGACTTATCTCTAAGATTGATGGAAAACTCCAATGCCTCAACACCAAAGGAATTAACAATCTGATTGAAAAATGGGCAGAAGACATGAATAGACACTCCATGAAGGAGGATATTCAGGTGGTCAGCTAATACATGAAAAGATGCTCACAATCATTGGCCATCAGAGAGATGCAAATCAATACAACAATGAGATATACCGTCTCACCCCAGCACTGATGGCGAGGTTCAATGAGACAGAAAATAACAAATGCTGGTGCGGATGTGGAGAGATTGGGATTCTCATACACTGCTTGTGTGACTGTGAAGTGACACAACCACTGTGGAAAGCAATATGCCAATTCCTTAGAAAGTTGAAATTGGAGATACCATTTGACCCAGCAATCCCATTACTAGGTATATATCCTAGAGAAGTGAGAGCCAGGACAGGAACAGATACATGCATGCTCAGGTTCATCATTGCACTATTTACAATAGCAAAAAGATGGAAACAACCTACATGCCCATCAGCAGAAGAGTGGATGACCAAACTATGGTACATACGCATACTGGAATGATATGCAGCACTATAGAATAATGTAGAGTCTGCAAAACACTGCATAATATGGATGAATTTGGAGGACATTATGCTGTGTGAAATAAGAACTTGGAGGACATTATGTTGTGTCAAATAAGTCAATCACAGAAGGGAAAATATAGTATTAGTTCATTGTTGTGGAGGGTCAAGGAAAGGTGTATATATGGAGGGAAACTTTCTTTGTTGGTTGCCAGGGTTGGGAGGGGAGGGGAGGGAACACTGAAAAAAAAAATGCATTGCCCTATGTCACTTTAGTTTTGTGTATTTCACTGTACATAAATTATATTTCTATAAAATGCATTTAAAAATAAAGAAAAAAAAGTGCAAGATTCAAAGAGAAGTGAACTTTTTCTTTCTTAGATTATTTCTTCCTTGGATTATCTTTTTTGTGTATTGGTTGCTGTTTTGAAATTTCTCATGTTTTCCCAAATTTCTTAGACCAAAAAGGAGGCCCTACTGAAATGAAATAAAAAACAATCAATCCATAAATTGTCATAACTCCTGCTGTTGGTATATTGATCTTAACAGGAGTCTCTAATCACCAAGTGTATTAGTTTTCTACAGCCAAGTAATAAATTACCAGGCACTTAGCCGCTTCAAGCCACACACATTTATTATCTCATAGTTTCCATGGATTGGGAGTCCAGGCAAAGCTGGGTTCTCTGCTCAGCATCTACAAGGCTGCAATCAAGGTTTTAAGAGGGGCTGTGGTCTCATCTGAAGCTTGGGATCGTCTTTCAAGCTCACGTGGTTTTGGCAGAATTCATTTCGTTGTAGCTGTAAAACTTGTGGCAGCTTTCTTCTTGAAGACCAGCAGGAGACTCTCTCTTACTCTGAATCTGTGAGCTCAGGGAAGACCTCAGCCTTCTTTTAAAGGGCTCACCTGATTAGGTCAGGCCCACCCAGGATAATCTCTTTGATTAGCTCAAAATGAACTAATTTGAGAATTTATTTACATCTGTAAAATTCCACATCTTTGCCGTAGAATGTAATGTAATCCATCACAGGAGTAATATCTACCAATGGGAGAGTCTTGTGCATACAGAAGGGGGGTGGACTCTATAGTTTACACACCAGGGATGGGAACCTTGGGATTCATTGTGCCTATCATACTAAAGTTTTTTCTTCAAGTGAACTTGTCATGTGTCTTGCTTTGTCCCATATTGTTATAATCATGGCCACTGGGTCCCATGTAAAAAAATGTCTTGAGAGCCATAAGATAGTCCCCTAAGCCATGTCTGTTTGGTTCTTCCAGACCTTATCAGGACTACCAGACCAAGACACCTTCTACGATGTGGTGGACTGTCTGGAGGAGCTGGGCCTTGCAGCCGTGTCACAGAGGCACTTGAACAAGAAAGGGACTGACTTGGACTTAGTGGAGCAGTTTAACATTTATGAGGTAATAGAACATACCTTTACAAAAGCAGTATTTGTTGCTGTTATTGAAAATATACACAGCAGAATGTATACTAACTCAACAATTTCTGTATGTACACTTCAGTGACATTGATTATATTCTAGAGTTGTGAAACCATTCTCTCCCTCTCTTTCTGAGTTGTTCCTCCTCCGTTAATATAAACTCACTGCCCCCTAAGCTTCCTATCTCACTTTTTGAGTTGCTACTGTCACTTTGATCCCATATAGATAGTTCTTTAACAGAGTACAGTGTTGAAGGCAGACAGTCTTTATTAATTAAGGTAAATGTTTGGTATAAAGAGGAGTTTACAGGATATTTTTGGTTTAAGGACTAAAGTTTAAAGATTATCTCAGGACAGTAGTTTTGGGGGTTCATCCATCCGCAATGCCTCTGGAAAGTCTAGATTCCATGAGAATTTGAAATTCTGCAGACCATGTGTAGCTTCTACAGAAGTTAGAGGCTGAGATAAAACATAGCCCAGACTAGTGGTGCTGAGTGTGGGTAGCAACATCAGCATCACCTGGGAACTTATTAGAAGAAATGCCAATTCTTGGGTTCCACCCTAGACCTAGTGAATCAGACATACTGAGAGCAAGCTCTGCAATCTGTGTTGTGAAAAGCCCTCCAAGTGGCTCTGATGTGTACTTAAATTTAAGAAACCCTTGTCTAGGTGAAACTTGATAACTATTTTAAAGGACTTATATGCTGTTAACAACACCTTCACTCAAGGTGTGTATGAGAGAGAGACAGACAGAGAGAGCTCACATTCCTCATATCTAATAGGGATGAGATTTCAGTTAGGGCTGGCCTCGTAATTTATTGGGCTCAATGGAGAGTGGGGGAGCTCAGGTAGCACAGTGCCTAAGGCACTTGACTGCTAACCAGAAGCTGGCAATTCAAACCCACCAGCCACTCCTGGGAAGGAAGGTTGGGCAATCTACTTCCTTAGTGATACTGCCTCAGAAACCCAAGGAGGGGTCGCTATGAGTCAGATCCAAGTCAACGCAGGGAATTTGTTTTTATTTTATTTTTTTTGGTTTTTGTTGAAAAAGCAGGAAAAAGGTACTTTTAAAGGCACTGGAATACTTTTTTTGGTACTCTTTCTTGATTTGGGGTTGTGTGTGTGTTTACTTGCTATTTAATGTCCTTGTAGGTAAAGAAAAAATTAAAGCTTAGAATTACTAGCATGGATTTTACCCGGAGGGAGTGCACATTCCAGTGGGGGCACAGACAGTGACTGAGGGAGTAAAGAAGCCGAGACTCTGAGATTGTGATCGTTTTTATGGAGGAAAGAGACAGGATGTGAGGGGAGGGGTGAGAACATGAAGCAAAGGGTAAGGAAGCTGTCCGAGGTGATGAAGGGAAGAGGCTGAGGAGCTCCGGCTTGGCCTGTGTAATGGTAATTAGGAGGTTGTTGTGACTGGAGGGGACACTTAGTGGAGAGGGGACCTGGAGAGGTTGACATCATCCCGGGGCTGCATCCCATGGGACCTTGTCTTGTTCCTCCTTCTCCTGACTCCTCTAACTAAAGACAGTGATCCTTGTGACAGTTGTATCTGACTATGTCGTTCTTCTGTTTAAGAAAATAAATAATTAAAACAAACATACATGACCAGCAGGTGAAGCCCAAACTCCTTGACTTGGTTCAAGGGCCCCACACAGCCTGTGGCCTTCTTGACTCTGGCCATTTCCAAGATGCCTCAAAAATTTCAGGTGTGCTAAATTCCTGGTTCTCCCCATGCACAGCTGGTCCTTTGGGGAGAGCTCTCCTTTTTCCAGTCTGTTTGACCTGGAGTGTTTTTTCTTCCTATTCTCATGTTGGCAAACTTCTGTTATTCCTTCAGGAGCCACTCAGGATGTCACCTTTTCCACGAAGTCTCTTGACACCCCTGCTAGTGTCCCCACACTTTGTTTAGAACCCATTGAAGGATGTTTTGCCTCTGGCCCCACCTCAGATCCAGTAGTCCTCAGGACATTCTTACCTGTCTTCCTTGTGAACTACTCAATGTCATATGTCTTATTTCTCTTTCTAGCTGCAGGGCCCAGTAATGCACCTGCCCAGAGTAGAAATCCAGCGAGTGCTTGAATAAAGGTCTCTTCCAAATACCATTCGTTTTATGATGGAGTTTGCCAGATGCTAGGTTGAAGGCAGCACATGATTTAATCAAAAAGCACCTACCTGAAGGGGAAAATGCCCTGGGTAATAATTCAAGATGACAGCTGAATGCTTTATATACCAGGCAGAGTCAGGGTTTTTATTTCTTTCTGAGAGTTAAAGCTTTTTTTAAAAAAATATTTACTGCCACAAGACAACCAACTTCAGTACATACAGGGGCAGCAAGGAGGCATTCAGGCAGAGCCAGTGTTCCTGACAAAAGACTTTGAATGTTCTCAGTTGCAGAGAACTTGGTTGGGTTTCTAAAATTCTTCCTAATAGTGCCGGATGTCTGGTGACCATGTGTCCTAGGCTTTCTGGGTTCAGACCCAATTCCATGTAATGTAATTCCATTTAAGAAAGGTGATTTGATCCATGTTTAATTAAATTCATTTGAATTTTTATAGCCTCATGTGACTTTTCAAATACATAAATTCATAAATCAAAACAGAAATCTTTTTTAGATCATGTGTCCTAACTTTTCTTTGGTTCTGAAAATTGTGATCCTTGTAATAGGAAAGGTATCTTAAGGCTGAAGACTTTGTTGGGGAGGGGTAACTGTTCCTTTTAGGGATAATGAGCTAATAAATCCAACCTCTTAAGATCCTTCCTTGTCAGAGGTGAGAAAAAATTGTGAACCAGTTATCTATTGCTGCATAGTAAACACCCCAAAACTTAGTGATGTGAAATAGCAATCACTGCTCATGATTCTGGAGATGAGAATCCTTTTTGATTTTGAGGTTTGGTCCAGCCACGAAGTTTTCACGTGGCTACAGGTATCTGGTGGCTTGACTGGGACTGGATAGTCTAAAATGGCCTTACTCATGTTATCTGATGTTTGGTGCTGACTTTGACTGGACCATGTGTCTTCAGCAGGCTTCTTTACATAGTGGCAGCATTTCAGATGGGAAAGTCCCAATGCATAGACACTTTACAAGCCTGTGATTGCATCACATTTGCTGATGTCCCACTGGCCAAAGCAAGTCACATGGCCAGCTGTAGACTCAAGATGGGAAAGGACTACACAATGGTGGGGAAACAGGGAGGCAAGATTCTTTGGAGACTTGAAACTTAAATGTCTGCTACATCTGTCACGAGCATCATTCCTTGTTAAAATGGCACTAGCACTGACATCCACTTCACCTAAAATCTGAATCAAGTTCTATAGGTATGATTGAAAACATGGTGTGTGATAGCAATTTGGAAAAGGATTGCATTTATTATGTAATGATGTCCACTTTTTATGGATAATATCAATAGTTTAATGATAAACTCAGAAAAAATGTTGTTAGCTTTGGAAATCCATCAAGAATATTCAGGTTATTGGATGCTTGATGACATTAAGAAGTTATTTTTAAGTAGAACAATGGTATGGTGGTTTTGTTTTTTAAAAATCTTTATCTTTTAGGGATGGATCCTGAAATATTTAAAGATGCAGTGATATGAATTGGGATTCAACTCAAAAAACCCATTGCTGTCGCGTTGATTCTGACATATAACAACCCTATAAGACAGAGCAGAACTGCCCCATAGAGTTTCTAAAGCTGTAATCTTTACAGAAGTAGACTGCCACATCTTCGTCCCGCAGAGTGGTTGGTGATCTTTCAGTTAGCAGTTGAGCACTTAACTACTGCGCCATCAGTGGTGTGTAAATGGAACAAGATCAGCCAAGAGTTGATAATAGTTGAGCCTGAGTGATGAGCACATCATTGTTCTTTATACTCATCTCCCTATTTTGTGTATGTTTAAAAATTTCCACAATACAAAGTTAAAAAGAATGGCCGGATCGATCAGTGGCTTCAAAGACTGCTTCCAGCTGTTTTCTGGGTAAGGTGGGGTAGCTGGACAGGCAATCGGTGCTGGATCCTGAAATGTGCATTCTTGGCACCCAAGGCTGTAGTTTGGCAAACCGAGCTCTGCATTTAGTTAAAAGAGCTTGAAGGTATTTGATAAGGGGTCCAGCAAATGAAGTGCTGTTGTTGTTGTTATGTGCCGTCAAGTCAGACCCGACTCATAGCGACCCCTCCTTGGGTTTCCGAGGCAGTATCACTACGGAAGTAGGATTGCCCAACCTTCCTTCCGAGGAGTGGCTGGTGGGTTTGAACCGCCAGCCTTCTGGTTAGCAGCCAAGTGCCTTAGCCACTATGCTACCAGAGCTCCCAAATGAAGTGCAGTGCTCCATTATTTGAGAGAGATTAGAGATCCTTCAGAACAGGCTAGATCTTGCTGTGAGTTCACATGGGGGACACGCATTGTCATTGCCATTAATTAGGTCTGCTACTTAGCACAGGTTTTGGATAAACCTTGTAATGTTCCTTTCAAATGTTTCCCACCTTTTAGTATTCTTGACTCAAAGTTGCAGTGCTCGTGAGTATCAGAAGTGTTTGGAAATGCCATGGTAGCCCTGTATATGCAAATGAAGACCTTCGTCCTGTCCTCAGCAGATACTGGGGATTCCAGACTTCTTCTTATAAATGCCAAACCATGAGTGGACACTCTCCATGAATTTCATGTTACATTGTCTCTGACTGCCAAGCCCAAGGCCATTGGATCTGTTGGGATTCTGTGTCCACCTCCTATTACTCCTCCCTATGCACTACTATTTTTTGTAAGGAGATAGATGTTTTGTAAAGGAGCTGAGCTTTGGGAAACCCCAACTGGATTCTATTTTATGGTGTCTTTTGTTTTAAACGTTGTGACTGTCCTCATTTTCTTTGGCAATAGGCAGTTAAAATGGATCTCACTTTGTGTACTCTGAGTATGCTTCTCTGAAAGGAACTGAGCAGAATGTTAGTCGATTCTTAGATCTCTGAGGTTAGGCAAGGAGTTAGACATATCTGAACTCTACTTTAGCCTCTAATCTTATCATTCTAAACATGTATTTAATAAGAAATAGAATCAATACTTCGGGTCAGAGTAAGTTCAAATGGTCTAGAATTTTTATATCTAAAAATTAAGAAAAATTAAATAATTGAAATTGAAATAGAAATAGTCAAAACTACTGTCCTTGATGCATTTCATGTGTTATAGTTGAGATGATAAATGTGACTGACCAATTGTACAATTTCTTTTTGAGTTTTTGTAGTTCTTCATTGGAGGTGGGGTTCTCCAGGAAACAGACTTTACAAGGAAATTTTGTAAAGATAGACCTTTGATGGAACTCTCTGTTCTTATCTGAATCCTCCTAGAATTGCATCTCTGGCTAGGAAATTCTGGGGTAATAAAATAGTCAAGATTTTCCAATTGTGTTCATTAGCTGAGAGTTTGTATAAAATGTATGTGACCTGTGGAAAGGTGTATTCACTGAATTGTATCCAAAAGCTGGAGGAAACAGGACCTGGGATAAATAAAGGTCAGGTGCATTGGCATTAAATAGGCTGTGTGTCTCAAATGCTAATATGACCCAGCATGGGAGTGTCTAACCTGGCCTTGCCTCAGCCAAGCTCACCTTGCTAAATGAACACAGATGCTAAAACTTCGGATGGAGAGGACAATTGATTTTGCAGTAGCCAGGTCTTCTATAGACAGGTTATGGTTCTCTATCAGGGCCTTTATATGACTTTTCCATGCTCTCATGCCAGGACTGGGTTATTAAATGTGTGAGAACACCCACAAGACCAGAGAACTAGCACCTCTGGGGGCTTGGGACTGTGTGACTCCTTGGTTGCTGAGTCAGAGGGGATGGTTGGACTTGGTTGGGCTCAGTTTACTTGGGCTGCAAGGTAGCCTGAGCAGTTCTGTCTGATAGGGAGATTTATAGACATCCTTGGCCACTTCATCTGAGGGCATGGCCAGAGGAAGTGCAGTCATATATATTGAGTACCAGCCATAGGACAAAGCCCTATCCTAGATGCTTTAAGTAAGTTACCTTAAGCCATCCTTGCCACAAACCAGCAAATGCAGTACTTTTATCCTCATTGGGTAAGCTGGAGAGAGGCTAAGTAATCTGCTACAGGCCTCACCTGGTTGGTTGGTTTCACAGCCAGCATTCGCACAAAGATGTAGTTAATGCCAAAACATGTGCTCTTTTCATCATCCAGTTTTAGAGAAGGTGGCTATAAAAATATTAAGCCAGTGATACAGGTGAGTAACCCACAGCTGGGAAGAGTGAGCTTAGAGTAGGAGCAGAGCAGGCTGCTAGAAGTGAGCTGAAGGGGAATTAGGTGAAAGGACAGAAAGTTGGTTTTAATGTGGGGTAAGGAGGCTGCAGAGTAGGATGCAAGACACAGCAAGATGAAGAGATGGGTGAGCTGGACCTTGGAAGGGGGCACCAACTAGAAACAGGACTAAAATATCCTGGAGAAAAAACTGGGTATCAATGAAGAGTAGTCTCAGTAGTTCAGGTTTTCACATGAAAGCTGAAGTGGCAAAATGTAAGCCAATTATTATTCTGCCCAATTATGCATCGTTTCCAAGAAGAAATGAAAAACAAAACAAAACAAACAAACTTTTCTTGTAGACATCAGGTTTATTTCTGTTGTATGTGGCTTGCATGGGCATGCTGTCTAGTGTAACTACAGGCTTCACTTGCAACCCTGAGATGAGGCTGTTGTTGGGGTAGCCCAATAGTCACAGCAGCTATCAGCCAAGATTCTCAAATCAAGCAACACGTGCTGCTGTACTTTCTTTCTTTCCTTTTTTAAACTTTTATTGTGGTGAAAACATACACAAGACATTCACCAACATAACAACTTCCTCATTTACAGAGCAGAGACATTGATGATATTTTTCATGTTGTGCCACCATTATTGCTATCCTTTTCCAAATATTCCACCACCATTATCATAATCACAATGCCCCGCAAACAAAAGCTTCCCTTTTCCCTTCTCACTCGTACCTCTGCTAGCCACTAATAATCTTTGGTTTCCATATATATGTATGTATAGATATATATACATATACTTTTTCAACCTACCTAAGAATTTAGCCTCCCCTGCCCTCCCATCCCTGGTAACCAACAAAGAAATTTTCTATGTATACACCTTTCCTTGATTTTTTACAATAAAGGACTAATACTGTATTTGTCCTTCAGTGATTGACTTATTTCACTCAGCCCTCTAAGTTTATCCATGTTATGCCATGTTTTGCAGATTCTATGTTGTTCTTCAGGGTTGCATAGTATTCCGTTGTGTGTATGTACCACAGTTTGTTTATCCATTCCTTGGTTGATGGACACTTAGGTTGTTTTTGCTGTACTTTTTTTTTTTTTTTTCCCCAGTGATCATCAAGTCATTTCCATTTCTTGGTGACCCCACGTGAATAAGAGCAAAACTGTGCTCCAAAGGGTTTGCAGTGGCTGATTTTTTTGGATTAGAGTCAGGCCTTTCTTCCAAGAGGGCTCTGGGTGGGCACAACCTCTAGCCTTTTGGTTGGCAGCCAACCATGTGAATGTTTATAACACCCAGGGACTCTCAAATGTTTTCTGGTTGAGGCAAGTTCCACCCACATGGATCTATGGTTCCTACCTCTGACGAGAATCCTTGCTATGCTCTTCTGAGCCCTGTCTTTGGGAAGGTAAGCTCAGGAATGACCAGGGACCTACCACCACTGGGCTTCAGGTGAGACTCAGCTTCCTGTACCAGAGAAGAACAAAGGGTGAGCAAGGAGAGGTTTATACCTGGGAGATGGAGATGCTGAGCTCCAAGGCAAAGTCTCTGTCTAATTGCACAGTGGTTCTTAGACCTACACATGAGAATGGCTGTCCTTTTTGTGTCCACTTGAATGGAAGAATGCAGAGTGGCCAGCATTTCTCAGGTTGTGAACTGTGCTCCAGAACACAGGTGATGGTACAGACTTTGTAGTGATACTGAGGCTCACAGGTCAGGAAAAGACAAGGTTAAACCTGCTCTGCTTTTTCAGGTGGCACTCAGGCATGAGGATGGCGATGAGATGGCAGAGCTGCCCCCCAGTGGGCGTCGGGACCGAAGGAGAGCCAGTGTGTGTTCCAGTGGCAGTGGGAGCAGTGAGCACCGGGGCTTGGACCGCCGGAGGAGCCGCCGGCACTCAGCACAGAGCATTCACAGTACCCTGTCGGCTCCTACCAGTCCCTGTTCCCAGTCGGCTCCTGGCTTCAAGTCTGGTCAAGTGCAAGATCCCAGTGAAAAGTAAGCATTAATGTAGCAGTAGAGAGGGGCTCAGGACATGAAAGAGGGAGGTCACACCCCACAGGTGCCTACTACCATCTCCTCCCTGCTGGCCCCATAGGGCCCTTGGCATCACACCTTGCCTCTTCTCTACCATTAAGCTACAATCCAAAAATCTCACAGAACTTCCCAGCACAAGGTGGGCCAGCTGGTATGTGGAAATTTGATCTCATTAACCTCATGCGCTCTTTTTCAGCCACTTGTGTTTTTATAGTATTTACTATCTCAATTGTATATCAATTAATGTGAGAATAGCTGTGCTTTACCCACCTAAACCCACTGCTGTCGAGTCAATTCCAACTTGTAGCAACGCTATGGGACAGAGTAGAACTGCCCCATAGAGTTGCCAAGGCTGTAATCTTTATGGAAGTAGATTGTCATGTCATTCTCCTGCAGAACAGATGATGGGTTTGAACTACTGACCTTTCAGTTAATAGCCTCGTGCTTTAATCACTGTGCTACCTAAGTTCCTCCTCTGTGCTTTAACAGACAATAAAGAATCCAAAACATAAATCTTAGGCTTAGAAATAAATGGTGTGCCATCAAATTAGTATAAAATTGAAAGAGTTGTGATACTTGGGACAGTACATAGTTGGGGTTGGATTTAGTGAAGTAGAATACACCTGCCTGGATTTTAAAAAAACCCTCTAAATTTCAATAGCTACTAATGCTTTCATTTATTCAGTTAATCAGCAAACATTTTTATGGCATGTCTTTTATATGTGGTCTTGAAGATGTAAGAGCATCTCTCATATCCAAGGCCTTGAAGATACGTAAATGGAAACGGTATGATCTCTGTCCTTATGAATCTCATGACTGATGGGCTGAGAAAAAGAATGGGAAAGGTAGTAGATATGAAGAAGTAGAAAGATTGATGATGCCATGAGAAATTATATATGTATTCAGCATGTAAAATTTGACAAAACTATGGGAAAGCTGAAGTGGTTCCATAAAAAGGAGGAGCAGCAAATGGGTGCCTTGCTGCTCTGGGTCTGGGTCCATGATACAGCTTCCTAAGTGGATGCTGTCTTTTCACTGGCATGAGGGGGCTCTGTGGATCAGTCCTTACCAACAAGGTCCCCAGGGGCCTGACTGATACTCGAGGATGCCAGAGCACCACTTCCTGGTGTGGGCAGCATGGAAGCAGCGTTCACGTCACTTGGAGGGAACAATGTCCCCATTGTGAATAGCCAACTGGGAGCCAGATTTGGGTGAAGAGGCTAATGAGTGAAGAAGAAAATAGCTCAGAATAAGTTAGAGCAACTTAAGAGAGAGCCATCAAGATATGTCCCTTCCTGTGCATCCGTAGTGGAACATCCCACCATCACCACCACCAAAAGTGGCACCAGGAAGTACTCCTGGAATCACTTGAGCTATAGCCAGCCTACAACTTTGAATGTGTCTTATCCCAAATGAGAGAAGATATTGGTCTTAGAGATGAAACCCTTCTTTAACACATAGCCCAACACAACATAATGTCGAGTCGGATCCGACTCACAGCACCCCATCCTTGGGTTTCTGAGGAGTTATCACTACGGAAGTAGATTGCCCAACTTTCCTTCCAAGGAGTGACTGGTGGGTTTGAACTGCCAGCCTTCTGGTTAGCAGTCAAATGCCTTAGGCACTACACCACCAGAGCTCCACATAGCCCAGGCACCCTCCATATATAAACTTTTCTGCTTCTGAGAGTTTGTGTACAATAAACTTTGTTTTAATGAAAAGAAGACCTAAAGTTCTGAACAGAGAATTTTTACCATGAAAATTACACTTTAATCTATCATGTGATTAATGCTCAGGCTCGAAAGAGGGCACTTGGAGCCCTCTTTCAGTATTGTTTGCAGCCACTGGTTTGAGAAATTTTATAGAGATATTAATGAGTGCAAAGGGCTGAAGATAATATATACAATATGTTGTTGTTGTTGTTGTATACCGTCGAGTCACACCTGACTCATAGTGACCCCTCCTTGGGTTTCCGAGGCAGTATCACTACGGAAGTAGGATTGCCCAACCTTCCTTCCGAGGAGTGGCTGGTGGATTTGAACCGCCAGCCTTCTGGTTAGCAGTCAAGTGCCTTAGCCACTATGCTACCAGAGCTCTATATACAATATAGAAAAATCTATATTAAAAGCCACCAAAAGATGCTAAGGGGTGGGAGTTAAGTAGATTCTGCTGGTACAATTAGTATTCTCTTGATCTGTCCACTGGTCTTACATTTGCTTCTGGTCTACTTGCTGTTACGCTTTTCAAAGGACCCCTGTGTTCTGAGCCCAGGTGCCAATGCTTTGTGATCTTCCAGGTTGACAAGACTAACAACAGTGGAGTGGACCATTCTGGGCATAGTTCATGATTCTAAAGTACTAGGCTTGGTGGATTCTGGAACTGGAGGCCCCACTTCTCAGAATGCTGCTTTTTTCTTTATTTTCAAATAGAGCTGATGTTTTCATTTTCCCTAAATTACTTCATAAATTTAGTAGTGCTTATTTGAGAACAATACACCTTCCCAGCTTGTAAAGACAGATAGCAACTTACAGACTCATGATTATTAAATGACTTTGGCTGTTGGAGAGATTTTGCCTTCTGACCCCAGAGTGACAGTGCAATTTTGGCAGAGGTGGGAGTGAGACAGAAGGAAAGGGTGACGAGAAGCAAAATGGGAAATGATCCCTGTGTGCATAGCTTAGTCACCTGCTCAACATCTGTGCCTTGGAACAGTCCCTTAGAATCAAGTAGCTCATTGTGTTACGTTCCCTATAGACCTGAAACACAGAGACACACCTGCCGTAGATTGCACTTATGCTATATGACTATTCCGGCCGTACTCAATGCTTACTTGTAGCATATGCCACATATGAAGAGTTTTAGGCTGGATTTTATAATTCTATGTGACCCAATTAATACCAGCACTTTTGAAAGGAAGCTAGAAATACATTAGCAGTTAGAAATAGATTAATATTGTTTTAAAATATATGTAGCACTCTAAAATCAGACCTTTTACATCATTTAAATTAATTTACAAAACAATTCTCTGTAGGATTGTGGGGACTGCAGTCAGTGTTGTGAAACGGATCTGTGTGAATTATTGTGTGGGGAATAAATTTGCTCTGTGGACTTTCACCCAAATCACAACTAAAAAAAAAATTGTTCTGTAGGGTGTAGGCAGGACAAGTGACACGATTCTCATTTTACAAGTAACAAAATAGACAGAGGTAAGTGTCTTGTGCCAAATTGCAGGCCTAGGGGGCTGAGTGGTAGTTTAAATGCACATCTTTGGTCCTTGCCTCTCAATGTCCAAACCGTACAAAACTGTATCCAACTATCCATTCCTAAACATCTTCATTGACCATAGTTTGTACTTCTGACGTTTTAGAGTGGGAGTTTCATTAACACACCATGCAGTTATATTTTTTATTGAGGTAAATATAACACTGTAAAGAAAAGCTAAGAAGGAAAAAACTCAAAATCTTCCCTACAGACTTAAGGCTGCTAGGCTATGTGCTTTCATCCTATTAAGAACTAATAGCAAGACTGGACTCAGATTGGTTGGCTTTTGTTTCTTAACAAATAGACCTCCACAATGAGTATTGGCCAAAAAAGCTACAAGTTTACTGGTCATCTGGCCCCAAAAACATCTTTATTTGGTGGGGTATTCTTATTCTGTAATGAGTTTCATCTTTGCACTGAAATTGTACAGATTTAACTGGAAGGAAGAAAATTTACAATGCAGTCATTTGTTACTGAGAAAATTGTTGTTGGCATTTAATTAGCAAGATAATCAGGTCTCTGGTTGAAATTGTAATAGTATGTAGTCTTAGGACTGAAAAGCTTTTACGGGTTGTCTAGCCTAAAACAGGAATCCTTTCTGTTCCATTTCCAAGGGGTGGAATGTATTTCCATGCTTAGTACTCTCCTCCCCAAAGTGCCCTATTCCATCCTTGGGCTGTTTCAGTTGTTACGAAAGTCTACTGACCTAAATTTGCCTAACTATTTTTCCCCTATTCATCCCAGTTCTCACCTCTGTCGACACACAACAGGTCATCTTCCTGCTCTGTATGTTAGTCTGTCTTTCTGTTTGAACATTGCATGGGATTAACATGTGAACTGTAAATTTCATCCTGTTGACTTCCACACAGCATTCCAACCCGAAGCAGTAATTTGGAACTTCATTCGGTCAGTGTTAGTGGTTGTGCATTCCAACTCTCAGTCGTGTGTATATTTTAATGTGCATGGAAGAGTGACCTGGCAGAGAGTGGATGATGACAACTGGTTAGGGTGTGGATAGTGCAGACTACAGCCACCTGCTTGTAAGTCAAGGACCTGCAGACTTTCTCTGTGAAGGGCCACATAGTAGCTATTTCAGGCTTTGCAGGCCAGTCTTTGATAGGAATGAGACACATTTGAATGCCTAAGTCCTGAATCAGTGCATTGCCTTCACACCTTGTCCATAGGAGTTGATTGTCAGGGGTTCCAGAATTCATCCATTGATTTTACCTGCAGAGTCTTGAGCAAAATAGCAGAGTAGACCTGCCTCTCTGTTACTTAGAAATAGTTGGTAATGGACAATTGATTTGCAAGCAAAAAAAAATGAACATAGTGGGTATTGTATAATCAGATTTAACCTATAAAATATAAGACTCAGGAGACCTTCTCAGCCCTGGCTTCTGGAGGAAGATTTAGCCTCGTGCAGTAAAGGAGCTCAGGTTGAGTGAGTAGGTGTGGTCTTTGGAGCCACAGATTCCGCTTCTTCCCTAGGGTTGACCTCAGTCTTCTCATCTGAAAACTCAGGATCATAACACCTCTTTAGTAAGGTGGTGGGTGGGTTAAGAGAGACAGCACAAATACATGCTTAGCCCAGTGTTGCTATTATTATTGTTGTCACTCCATGCCCTGGAGCTTTCCCGGATATTCTATTAAAGAAGGTAATTGTTAAATAAACGTGAATGTGAACTGGAGAGAATATTTTG